AACCAAACAGTTTTGGTCACCATTGACAAAAGATTCGATTATTTTCCACAGAAGTAAGTCGTACAAGTTTGCAACAACATGATTGTGAGTAAATGATGTAAATGATTGCTGTCACTAAGAAGGAATACAAAGGTTAACTTTGAGCTACTGAACTCTCACTTTACCGTGAGAAATGCTGCAGTGCAAGCTGCAGCAGGCAGAATGCATGTGGGGAGCATGTGCTGTGCTGGTGGAGCTGCAGTATGTGCTGGTCATGCTGGGCTGGCCTTGTATGCGTCAGCTCTGTGGTATGAAGGTTATGTTGTGGCGCTCCAGTGCTGCTGAGCGCTGCAGTGCGTTGGAACAGCAGACTCCTCTCTTTCCTGCCTTGACCTCTGCCAACTGACCCTCGCACTCCCACTGCCGTCTCTGCGGACGAGTATGGCAGAGGCAGAGAGGCAGAGAACCAGATTCAATCATGCGTTGGTTCTGCATATCATTCCGATGTAGTTCGTTCACTTGCTTTTCTGGGCTTATTTGGGAACTCTGTGCCACTGACTGTCAGAGTGACAGTGACAGCAACCCGTATAGAAAATGCTTATCATTTGAATGCTGCGCCTGTTTGCCCATCATCACCTTCCCAGCATTTCAAGGTCAGCTTTAGTCGTGATTATGCAGCCGCATTGCTCTATTTTCCCTATTCACACATTAGCCATGTCCCAAAGACTGAGCTTCCATGAAAAATAAAATGTTCAAAAGGCCCTGTGGCCTTTGGATTATTTACATAAGCAAAATGTTGCACTCCGTTGGGACCTGAAAAAAAGACACGTCTGCAGAATGTTGCTTCATCAAGCCATGAGATTTGTGTTGGCTATTAAAATATATTGGTCGGCAGTTTTTTTCCACATTGTAGTCTGTTTGTTTAGCTCAATTTAATTAATATTCCTAGTACATGACATGAGTTACAGTGAAAGGCTTTTTTGAAAATGGTTAAAATAGACCTCAAATGAACACTAAACAATGTTTACTCTAGTGATCCCTGTAATTATTTTACCTAGGGCAGCTGTTGTCATATTGATCTGTATAATCGATCATTCCAAGATCTAAGATTAGCTCATTCAGCAAGTGTGTCTCGAATAGACAACGAATTCTGGAGACTGGGTTTCTGTTTTTTAAAGCATAGTAACGAAGTTTACCCACAAACGAGGGCGAGTAAAAAAAAATCATCTTCTTCTCTGTGGTATACAAAAAGCAGATATTTTGAGAAATTTTGTTTTTGTATTTTGTTTTTTGGTCCGTAAAAGGAAAGTCAATAGGATCTGATGTTGTTTTGGACCCCATTGACTTTCATTACAACATGCTTGTATGTTCCACAGGAGAAAAAAAGTCACACAGGGTTGGAAGAAAATGAAGGTAATGAGGGTTAAATAAATTGACAGAATTTTAATTTTGGATGAACAATTCCTTTAAAGTCACAATGAAACAGATGTAACGACAGATCTTTTCGTCCGTATTGGGACGTACATCCGAGTAAAATTTATTAGAGAATAAGAAAAAAATGTAGAGCAAGGACTTGGTTCTATCCATCGGTTGTTGATTGGATTGTGGAGGGGCGGCTTATGATGAAGAAGTCCAGCATTCATCAACAGTCACAGTTGAAAAAGAAAAAAAACTGTTGGTACCAATATGTACCTTTAAGGTACTAATATGAGCTCTTTAGGTACAAAGGAAAAGGTACCGTCCTGGTGACGGCTTTTGTACCTTTTTTTCTCAATACCATGGATTTACAAAATAAATAAGGTGAATTTTCATTTCATGCTGACTTAAAGCATATAGTGTTTAATTTAGCAGGAATAATGTTATTTCTCACAGACAGACAGTAGGTGGTTTTGTTGACTTCTCAGACTGAGACTGCTTCAAACATAGAAATTGTAGCCAGGTTTGGATGAAAGATCTGTTTCTCAAACGCCCAGTCTTCTGCTATACATTCCAGTTATTGACTTGATTCTTGTGTACATGGCCACATGCGGTGTCTGAAGGACACTGCTACAAGTGCGATGTGTATACAGCTCGGTGACCTTGTAGAAACAATACACACTCGCCACCTCCACACTTCTGATATTTACAGCCTCCTTTGTAGATCTGCGCCAGAAACACTCACACACGTGTACTGTGCTGTATATCCTCCGCCCTGCCGTCTTTCTGCTGTAGAGAACATCAAAGTAAACCGACTACACAGCCAGCACTTACACTAGCCTGTATAACAATTGTACTACATATAGCTGACGTTATTAGTATCGAGCACACGGTTATTTGTCTTCTTGTCTGTGCAATTACAAATTATGGGGTTTAGGGTTTTAAGACCTTTTCTATCATTATTTTTTAAATCCATTTACAGGTTCAATGCAAGTTTAGATGCATCTAATCTAAATCTAGCCTATATATTTTTCAGTAGTGTGTTACTAGCTCTTTTCACAATAGTGTAGCTTTTCAATTTAACAAGCTAGTTTTTCCAATGTGCATTAAAATGCTGCATTGCTGTTTTTAATGTCACATTGTATTGCATGCTCAGCCTGCGAGCAAGCTGAGGCAGTTCATATTCTGATTCCTTTTTGCATCGTTCAGATGGTTTATGAAACATACATTAACTGATTACAGTCCCTGGTATCATTGGGGATGCATGATATATCAGTACAAAATCGGTTATCGGCCTTCAATAGAGTTTTTATTTTAAATATTGGTAGCTGATATTATATTTTTAACTGTAAATGCTCATTTACCCTATTTTTTCATTTAGATTACTTTTGTCATAATCTAACGCTCACTTAAAATTAAAATCACAATTTTTATTGATTATTGATCTTGTGAACAATTCATAAATTGTTTGTAAATTACAACTTTTTCAATGGAATATCTTGACTGCTCTTTACCTAGTCTAACTTTACAAGTAACCTTGCTTTCCCAACACTTTTGTCTTGCTTTTTCACTTTTCATTCAGTCGTCCTTAGATGAAACAGTATGCCTTTCTTTTAGTGTTATCTGCTTTTATGCCTGTACAGTAAATGCAGCTTGTAATAACTAGGCCAGACCTACACCAACCAGTCAGATTGCGTTTTGTCGGTCTACTTTTCATTAATAATTTACTTCATCACATTGTATAATCAGTTCGAGACAACTATATTTATAACAGGCTTTGCAAGCCGCGAAGATAAAAATCATTTGGGAAATAACGCTGATTATCATTGCGAGGGGGATTTGCAATCGTTGGGAGGGCAACACTTGTACTACATATTAAGGTCTGTGGAGGGAATTAGACAGCGGTTGACGTCACGGCCACATGTTCTCTTCACGGATCACCTCTCCGTTCACCTGCTTACATATAAATGAGATAATTGGCCTTTCACTGTGAATACAGGAAGCAGGTGTGGCTGAGGTACCATGCTGCTCTGAGACAGAGATGTGCTAACTTCAGTGCTGACAAACAGCTCAATGCAGGTCTGCGTTCCCCGGGGGGGCGTCTTCATCGATCTTACTGTAGGGCTGATATTGGGGGAGGGTGTGCTCACGTCAGCCTGCTGTAAAACCTACTTTCTGCTTTGCCTGGTGTTACGTTGCGCTGTATTTAGTGCCTTTGTTCTTGTATCTGGAGGTGGGTGTCATTAATTCAATTTCTATCCTCTCTCCCTCGTTTTCTCTCCCGATCTCCCTCATCCGCTCACCGCATTGCTCTCCTTCTGGACCGTCTGTCTGCGTGCCCCCCCCCCCCCCCCCCTCCCTCCCCCTCCCCCTCCTCCTCCGTCGTCTGTGTCTGTCGCTGTGAGACACAGGGACAGATAATATCTGCCTTAACCTCTCCTCTAATCCCTTCACTGTCTGCTCGTTCACCTCTGCATTATTTGTTTTCATTTTCCCGTCCTTTTATTTGTTTAGCCATCCCTCCCTCCCGCATCGGTTTCGAGTGTGCTTGGTCATCACAGCATTGATTATTCTTCACTGTACTCTTCACTGTCTCTTTCTCTCTCTCAAGGGACCACATATCAGCTGTCAGACCCACCCAAGACACCCACTCACATCCCCCCTGTGGCACCGCCCCCGGTATTTCACTTCTCAATCTCCACCCTTGCACCTTCCCACATCGCCACGCGCATTGAATGAATGTGATAACAACGATCCATTCACTTCTCCTTTCTTTTCCCTTCTTCCTCCCACCTGTGACTCCGATGAGGCGCTGCAGCGATTGCCTATACTTTAAAACCTTCCCATTAATGCTCCAGGGAAGCAAGAGAGCCACTCTCCTTCGGATTCAGCCAAGGAGCAATGCAATGACAAAGAGGGTGGGGAGACTAACGATCAATATATTAGGCTCCTCCTGATTGGTCGATTCACCTTGCCTGGTTGCATCGCAGCTGCGGATTGGCTGTTGCAGTGTTCCCTGCTCAGCAGCTGCAGCTATGGGGATTTGCCCTTCCTCTCAGCTGCTCTACTTCCTTTTTCTCTCACAAAAGCAGCGTTCAGATCCTGAATGCTGAGAGTGGCATTCGCCGCATAGTTTATGGCCTCCGCAACGAGCGCCGTTTTGTTTTGCGCTAACTTTCTGTAACTTCAATCTGCCACACAGACATAAAGTGACGTTGCTGTCTCCCATGTGCTTTCTCTGTCTCTGTCCCTTTCTTTGCCTCCTCCCTCTTTTCCCTCCCTCCCTCCATCTCTTAATCAAGACACAGCCTTTGCATTGCTGGCTGCCTCCCGTCTGCACTCCTCCTCTACCTCTCGTGCACTCTCTCACTCGCGCTTTCTGCCATGCGCTTTCAGCCTCTCTCTGTTTGTCGCTCACCTCTGTATTCCCCAGTTACAGGTTTGCAACATAAACAGCTGCTACTTCAGGCATTTTCTTTTATTTTGTACTTTTATTGTTTGTTTTTTGCGAAATATTCCTTTTGCGAAGTGTTTTTGCCGTTTTGAACAGGACAGGCTGTTTTAACTGAGTTTGTTGGCTTTGCTTTTTGTGTCTTTTTGCAAAGGTAGGTTCTCCTGCTGCAAGAGGACTCTTAGAAGTGCGCGAGGACAAGTCACAGTGCGATGAAAGGAATGCAGGGAAAGCAGGAGGGATGAGAAAGCGATTCAAGTAAAAGAAGACTTGCATCACCATAAAGTGCCTCATCTGGATGCTGCGGAAGCCCTCCTCTGTGTCTGCACTCCCATCCTGGCTGGTCTCTGCTTCGGAACGCTCTTTTCCCCGCTGACTTGAGCGGTGTGCGCTTGGCCTTGGCATGGGCTATATTTCACCCTGACAGTCAATCAACCCATTTGCCTGTTCCTCGATTCCAACTTCGCCTACTCGCCATTTCACCTTATAATACAAGGACACCAGTCGATTAGTTTCCCTTTTGGGTTCTCAAAGTGTTTCTCCCTTCACTTCTGCAGTCTCTCCATCCCTTGTGACCCAGACATGCGAGCATCTTTTGGGACTGCTGCGGCTATGGCAACAGGGCAGGGGGTTTCGGAAGCCTAAAATTAGAGAGAGTCCGTTTTACATCAATGCAAGAAAGCTATTTTAAACCCAGCGCTCCCGAGGGTGAGTCTAGACAGTGGGACGACCACTGCAGACAAATAGAAAGTGCCGCTCTACTCTACTTTTAATGCCTCGTTTTCCTGGAAGACAGCCGAAGATGCACCGCAGCATGTCACAGTGACCTACCCCACCTCAGCACTCTCGATTCGTCGCTCTCCCTACCTGACTTTCAACTAATCTCATATTCTCGTCATACTCACCCTTTGGTTAATCACTAGACTATGCCCCCTACCTGTCAATAAGAGAGTTTGTTTTTCATCTCTAGACTGGTAGTCTGAGGATCTCCTCGCCACTGTGCTAATTTTTTGCAGCCTTTGTGCTTTATCACGCCTGGCTGCCCCACCCAAGCCCTCCGCTCACCCGCCACTCGCCGAGGTACCGCCATGGCCGTCAATGTGACCATGGGCCGCGACACCAAGTGGCTGACGCTGGAGGTGTGCAGAGAGTTCCAGCGAGGAACCTGCTCACGCTCGGACGCCGAATGCAAGTTTGCTCACCCCTCTCGCACATGCCACGTGGAGAACGGCCGCGTCATCGCCTGTTTCGACTCACTCAAGGTAAATACACATGCACACATTATTATTGCACTGTGATAAATTAACTATAAGGAGCATTATTTTAAGTTTTAGTGCAGATTAGATCACTCACAAACAATATTTGGTCATGTTGTCAATAACTCTAGGATCTTTTGCTGAGTGGTGGTCTCTCTCCAGCTGGTGAAATCAGTCTTTGAGTGTATGTTTGTGTCATTCTAAAGCACTGCAACCTCTGGTCTGGGATTGGTTAGTAATGATTAAAAAGATATGTGACATTCTTATTTCAATATGTCATTAAAAAAAATGTCATTGACTACCAATGAATGCTGGGAGTATTTACATGCTACTTCAAAAGTGTTAGGAATACCATGGTATATCCAAAAAAAACATGCAAAGTTGTATTATCTCCAAAATAATCCATGGTGATTTGATTTTGTTACTTTTTGTGCTTAAATAATGCTTTTCTTTGAAAGGGGAACAATCTCAGAGGAACAACATTTAAAGAAACAGTTCCATCAATTCCACCATCATTAACTCATGATCAACTGATTCATAAAAAAAGAATGATTCATTCATGATTCATCATTAGTGGATGTAAAATTTATTTTGTTTCTTTCAAAGTTGTTATATGCCATTAGATAACTTGAAATATAGTCATAATAATTACTTTTGAGTGTGCAATCCTCAGTCCCCATTCATTGTTACTGCATGAAAGATAACAACCAGCACATTAAATAATTTCTCCTTTTGTGAATATACTAATATAGATTTTGAACATCAATGAGTAAATGCTGACAGAATTTTGGGGTGAACTGTCCCTTTAAAATGTGTATTTCCATAAACAGTTTAAATCTATTGTTTTCAGCTTTAGGTGATTTCTTGATTTATAAGCTCAAATGTTATACCTTTTATCTTCTGATTGTCCATGTTCATCTCAGGAAGCAACTCTCTGGACCTGTGGGTCAATCAGGACTCTGAGCATTGAGCTATGAGCACAACAAATGTGTTTGTGTGTTTATGTCTCTGCTTATGTGTTTATGTGCAGTGAAAGAGCCAGACAAGGCCCTCTCTGTCTGAGTGCAGCAGCTGTCTCCTCTTTTATTGAGCTAGAATGTATTATTTGGCCATTTTTTGGCTGTGGGCAGCATTTGTGGGGGAGCTCTGGATGAGGAGGAGTGAGAGCGAAAGCTACATGTGGCCTAGCAACAGCGCCAGCCGACTGGATACAGTAATCCCTATGAACTGTGTTACAGTTGTTATTAGCACTGTGTGCCAGTGGTCTGTGTAGATTAATTACTCATCCAATTGTTCGATTGTTTTTATCAGAACAGTAAAAGTAGCCAGCCGTCACTATCAGAAAAACTCGAGGTTAGATTGCTGTTATGACTGAGAGAGATAAAAGCTAGTGGAAATAAATGAGAGAAACTGTTTGTGGTTTATTCCTCCTGATGTTCTTGTGTGTGTGCGGGTGTGTCTGAAGAGTTTAAATGGTGCCTGTTGAAGTGCTAAGAGGTGCACATAAAGTCAACATGAAACGGGATTTGCGATTGTCTTTTCTTCTCTATTATTGTGACATACTGTATATCCGAATGAATAATGTAGGGCGGGACTTGATTTTGTTTGTCGGAAATTGATTGGATCATTGTTGTTTGGTAATATCTGCGATGTCATGTGAGTGACAGCTTATTGTCCCGCCCTCACGCTGGTGCACACGTCATCAGAGAAGAGATGTTGAAAGATTACAAGGGCGCATGTAAAAAAAAAAGAGAAAAAATTTATATTGTAAAACAATCACTAACCGTGTTTTATATACGATGAAGCACTGGTATGACCGCTTCACCGAACAGCAAAATTAACTATATTTAATGAATTTTGAGTGACCCCTCCTGGCTCTATGTCTGCATCATTAATGCTCCTTGAATCCATTGAAATGTCAATTTTGATTTCATAGTAACTTCCTTGTACAAAAAACCTTGAGACAAGACAAGCCTTTGCATGCAGAACCTCTCTGCTAAAAAAAAACTGGAAGAGAAACATGCTCACATGCTCATGCTAATGTCATTAGGTGCTTCACACTTTTCTAGGTGATCCGACCAATACTTTTTTTTAGTTGAGGAGGATAAAAAAGAGCAAATCATCAGCAACCCCCCAGAACAACAGCATAGCAACATGCTAAAAAAACATGCTGAACACCTGGCATCCACCCATAGTACTAGTATGCCGGACACTAGTGTTGTGTGTGGTTGCCAGGGCATTGCTACGTAGTTGCTAAAGTGTTCTGCAGTTAAAAAAAGTAAAGAAATCGTGTAATTAATTGTGCAAGATCTCAGGTTTTGAGTGCAGCCCTCTTCAATCACAATCATTGAATTTTTTTATGTTCAAGTAATTCCAGCATTTATCTCCAGACCCAATCTCATCCCCCCAGGCCTCTCTCACCTCTGCACCCCTCCACACCTCCACATCTCTTCTAATTTATCGACATCAGCTAATGGCTGCTGTTCTGTTCTTCTTTCCACTAGACCCTGATGCACAATGTCTTGCTTTTTGCTGTTTGTTGGCCATTAATCTGGTTTGGTTTGCTTGAAAACGTATCAGGGATGCATGAATTAGGCAGTCAGCTAGTCCATGTAAATGTGATTGAGTTATTGATGCTGGCACACGCTTCTGTCTGAAAAAAACAAATCAGCAGGTACTGTCATTGACTGCGTCTTATTCACATGAACATGATTCGAAAAGTTATTTTTAGAAAATAGGACAACTAAATGGCCACTGAGAGACACTGTTCCAGGAAGTACATTTAATGGGGACATTTGGAAAACAGGATTTTCCTTGCTCTTTTGCAATAAAAGAGTTGATGTACTTAGTACTATGTGAATATCAAAGTACCAATTAAATGTGTGGAGGCAGTTTTTAAAATGTTTTTAAAAGTTTCTAATACTCACCAAGGCTGCATATGTTTGATTTAAAAATGCAGTATGTACAGTAATACTGTGAAATATAAATAATGATATCTATTTGAATATATTTTAAGGCAAGACACCCCAGGTAAATAGGGTAAAAAATCAAATACTAGATATCACCATACTTCCCCAGCTGATTGATTACATTAAGAATTGCAAAGATTTTTTTGCATTACAGGTTTTCCGAAATGTTATGTTTAAATATGCAAATGAGGCATTATCTAATTAAATATGACCTAATTTGCCTACATTTAAACCAGGTTCAAAATTCTTGTTTCTTTTTTTTTTCTTCTTTTTTTTACATTAGAGTCAAAGGTTTTTACTGAGGGGATTTTGGATCTTATTTTATCACTACATACACATACATCAGAAAATACTGTCAACAGCCAGAAAAAAAAAAGTTAAATAAAATCAGGAAAATTATAAATGAACAAACCCCTCAGTAAAAACCTTCAGATTATAAATTGGAATACAACTGTAAAGTTTGGTGTGTGTGTGTGTGTGTGTGTGTGTGTGTGTGTGTGTGTGTGTGTGTGTGTGTGTGTGTGTGTGTGTGTGTGTGTGTGTGTGTGTGTGTGTGTGTGTGTGTGTGTGTGTGTGTGTGTGTGTGTGTGTGTGTGTGTGTGTGTAAGTGTTACTGAAGTGGAGATTTGTGACTCAGAATAGGAGAAAAAAATTATTTTGAGAAAACAGATGTACTGTAATTGAAACCTGGAACCTACAGATGCAAATAGATGAAGTGCTATAATAAAAGATACACTTAAAAGTGTGTTTTGGATGTTTTCTTTCCACTAGTCTGAAAAAAACACTTTATGAAAAGCTAAAATCAAAATTGACAGATGTATGAAAAACAGTTCAATGGTTCAAGGGTCTTTTATTGTCATTCCATACACATTTTCACATGAAGGAACGAAACTAAGTACTAAGGTCCCGGTCAAAACACAAGATAAAAACATTTACCAATAAAACATTAGAAACTAGAGTGTATTATGTGCAAGCAGCTTAATAAAGTAATTAACTATACCAAGTATGAATAAAATAAACTATAAATACCATGTCATATCATAAATCATTGCATCTTGCTTTATATTTTTCAACAGGTGAATAGTAGCCGCACACCAAACTAGATTTCCTTTCTGCCATTCTCTCCATCTCTCTCCGTTTTGTGTGTGTGTGTGTGTGTGTGTGTGTGTGACTGCATGGCTGTAAACTGTGACACATGCCTGCTAAATATGTCAGGGGTGTTTTGGCACAAACAAAAAATACTTAAAACATTTGTAAGTGATGCAGAAACTAACATTTTGTATTGATATCATCTTAATATCAAAAAATTTTTTTAGGTATTGATGCCAAATAAGAAGCTTTTGAGCATCGATACTGTAGTATTGATGTGCTCATCCCTATTAGAATGACACACACAACAGTCATTTACATCAACAGCTCTTACAATGTGGCATTATGCCATTTCTATGTCATTGCACATGTGTAGAACTTCCGAAACTGTTTTCAATCCGATCAAGTGTTTACACATCCTAACAATCGGATTGGAAAGGTTTAATCCACCCCTTACAATCCAAATTAAATTTAAATCTGATTTGGCCAATTCATTCCGATTGACGTGCTTTCATTATTAGGAGTCGGACTATGCTACTAATCAGATGACAATCGGATTATTAGGGTATAATGTAAATCCAGCTAATGTAAATGTCTTTACTGTCACTTTTGATCAATTTAATGCAACCATTCTACAAACAGTAACATCACAAAAACATGATCATCCTCATTTTAAATGCTGCTATAGACTCCAGTAGGGCTGTAGTCAACCAAAGAAATCCTTAGTCGACCAAAGTCTTGTCCTGCGCAACGATTAGTCGACTAAAAAAAAAAAAAAAAAAAAAAAAAAAAAAGACGCGATGTTTTGATTGAACATTTTTTAACAATTGTCATAGAGCATTTATAAAACAACAACGAAAAAACATCAAAAATACATAAAACTATAATAATAATACAATTCTTTGAAAATTAAGTGATTTTTTTTAACTGCAAAAAGTGAGGAGCTCT